AACTATCAGTACATCTCTTAACATTTCTTTTCCAGGATCCATCTGCTCTATGCTGCCCACTATAGGAAATGTAATATGGTAATCAGAAAGGTAATACTGCGCACTTAGGGTTACCTTAGTACAAAACTCATAAAAAATATTATCTGGCTATGTGGATGCTAAGATATGGTGTTCTTTCAAGAGATACAGACTAATTGGTGGTAATCAAATTTATTAAATATAAAGGACATCAGTAGAAACAGACAGGACCAGAAACTATCTTGGTGATCCACACACCAGCAGTAGCAACCGGGTGCGGCAGGGGGATGGGGCGTGGAATTAAGTGAGGGCGGAGTAGCCTGCAGAAAGCTGCAGTTAGGCGCAAGAGAGGAAACGTGAGGGTCAACTTCAGTATAAACAAAGCACTTTAAAAAAGAAGTCATGCAAAACACAAAAGATTACTGTAAATGGAAAATGACATTTAAAATCAATTATTCATGTGAGGCATATTTGTTTCATCAGATAAATCTTGTCTTTTCTTAAACCTTTACTCTTACAAGCAAATACTTTTAATGGTTAACTTTTGTCACACATTCTTTTTTAAAAATTCAATCACGGGAAAACGGAACAGTATAGACATCTCAAAAAGATCAAGTTTTATGTTTCTTTTCACTTTGACAAGAGTATATCCAAAGTGTTAAGAATTTAAATTCTATAGATCAGATATACTTTAGGATTCCATTTAATGAGTACAGGCTCTTCTACAGAAAAGGAATTTTTAAAAGTCAATACTCCAGTTTCACATCACACGTTAAAAAATTTAAAAAGGTTTAAAAACGTATCACTCCATGTCTTGAGGCTTTAACTTGCACTGAAAAGCAAAACACACTATTGCATGTTTATCTACACGCATACATTAATAGCAGTCGGTGGCTTAAAAGTGGTAACCTCCTATTGAAAAAAAGTGACAAATGTCACCCTTCCATACTGCCCTTCTAATTAGACACCAAGACAACTAGGCTTGCCCACTGCAGTTTGGGAATAATAGAAGAGACGTCTGCCGCCTAACCTGAGACATTATTAATATTCAATCCTAGGTCTCCAAAGAACTAAATTTCAGAGTACGTGCCTGGGTTCCCACTCCTGCCCCGTTAGCACCGTCACAAGCCGGCTCCCGGCCCACCGAGATCCCGGAGCAGGGGCCTCCGGCGCTCCGGAGCCGAGAGGTACGGACCGACTCTGGCATTGAGGAACTACCGAAAAGTCGCACGGCAGCCGGGGCGCGGCCAAGGCCTCGGCCACCACCCCGCATCACCCGGTCCTCGTCCCCTCGGAGCCAGCCGCGTGGCCCAGGGGAGATCCGTCAGTTGCCGGCATCGCGAAAGAGCAACAAAGCCACCAAGACGCCGCAGCAAGTCCCCAGGGCAGGCAGTCGCAGCTTTCCTTTTTCCTCTTAGTTACAATTACCCAGCGGCTTCTGGTACTTCCTTCCAGAAAAATGAAAAAGAAAAAAGGTGTAGAGGTGGTAGCAGTTGTCGACACTTTCCGCGCAGCGTGATCCCTAGGCTCCATCCTAGAGCAGAATTTCCAAAGTCGGATGCATCCTCAGCGGAGGTATTCCTTGTTGACAGATCTCTCGCCTCCCACAAAATGGGGCCGAGGAGGCGGCCGCAGTCTCCTCTATGGGCGCCGCCATTTTGTGAGGCGGCGGCGGCGGCGGCTGGAGCCCGGGGTGTGTGTAATGGTTGAATAGAATGACCCCCTCTAGGGAATCCCCGGCGCTGACAGTTACGTAAGGGGCTGTGCGCAAGTGCGGCGTTTAGGGAATCCGCACAGCCCGGGCCACGAAGCGCTGCGGCCCACATCTCCACTACCCCTAAGGGGACTGGTGGGGGAAGGGACCGCTGACCGGGTCTCCCCGGTACACCACCCCCTCGCCTAGTTCAGCCGCCCAGCTTCCCCACCTTCTTCCCCAGGGTCTCCGCCCCTCTTAGGCTTACCAGTAGCTCACTGGCCCTTGTGGTCAGGAACTGATTAGCCACAGCTTTATTCAGACCCCATTTAAGAGACAAACTTTACTTGGGAAGTAAATCCGATTCCTAGAGTGAACACCGGAAGCATGCTGGACTGTATTACATAATTTTTTTTCACCATCTAATACATGTTCCCATTGGAACCACTACCTGAAATAACCCATCCGGACCCTTACCACCCTGTGACCTTGGGATGGTCAGTGACTTTACCCATTGTGGCCGTCACTAAAATGGAACTAACACACTGTATGAACTGTGAAGCTTAATTAACAGCTGTAGCAAGGGCCGGCTCTAACACCCGTTGTAAATGCAAACTTTGGTGTTAGTATTTGTCGAGATATTTTGAATTTCTCATTTAAGCAAAGGTTATTTCTTAACCTTGAAAAATATTTTATAGGAAAATCACATTTAAGACATTTTAGAGAAAGCAAGGAAAAACATTTTTTATCGATGTTTATTTTAAATATATTTACCTTAATATAAAAATACAAACATTAACTATTATTGTCAAGTTGGACAATAAGCTCCTCTACCAGCTTAGTTTGCATAACTCGCATCACAGAATAATTGTTAGGTGCGTGAAACCAACCAGAAACAAGCATTACTTTATTTCTATAGAACTAGGACAGATAGTTCACACTGTATTTGATCTAGTTTGTTAAAGTTAGTTGATGGAAAATGTGCAATCGGGCCCCCCAAATACTAGCATAAGGCTCAGAAAAGCTGATTCCTTTAGACCTAAATATTTCAAACAAGGGAACAAATTGATTATTCCGATCCGTGTACGTTGCGTAGAGTGAGGAGCTGCCGCTCGGAGATTTTTTCCTTTCCCTCCGAGTGCCACACCGGTTCGGTCGGGCGGGCGGAGACTCCGAGGCGGCTCTTCCAACAGCCGCGCAGGGGACGCGAACATCGCCTCCACCCCTAACCCTGGAACAACCGGTAGTGGCCGTTTCCCTGCGCCGCCCCCCTTTCCGCCGGCTTTGTGTGTGTGTGAAATGTGCGGCACATTGCAGATGAACCCTAAGCCCGGCGAGCCGAGTCTATTGTTCCCCGCGAGGAGCTGCCGCGGCGGTGTGGAGCCAGGCGCAGTGCCGTGGCCGGCCCTCGGGGGTCGCTGTGCGGCGCTGGCTGCCGGGCCGTGGC